ACGTTTGCTTACTTTTCCATATGATTACTAACTATATCAGGAGCTGTTTTAAATCGGTTAAAATCTAAGAAGTTAGTAATAGATTATGGCTTTGATTATACAGGACCAAGAATAGTTGTTTATTTTTCTTTTTAACGCTTTTTTCGAAATACACCCATTCTTATCAATGATTTTATTTTATTGATATTAATTCTAACTTTTTCACTAAAATTTGCTTTAAGTTAAATAAACTAGGATTTTAATCCTAATCTTGGTTTAATAGCAAATGAGTTTTATCTAGCAAACTTACTTCTTCTTTTTGTTTTCTTAATTAGGTCTTTCATTTAGAGTTATCTATCACTCACAATTAAATAGGGTGGATCATCAACATAAGTCAATATTTTTAGAAAGTGTTTTGTAATTAATTTAGGTAATTTTTTACCTCCTGGTGATTCTAAATGAAAATATCTTAAATTAAAGAGAACAACTAAACTCATAATGCTAATTTTTGGTTTAGGAGCAATTAAAGCTTAGGACATAAATTTTGTTGGTTCTTTAGATGTTAATTTGCTATCTAATACTTCTTAAATGATTTCTTATTTCTTAAGAGGAGAAAACTCCTCTTATCTACTATGTCTCTTTGTAAGTGGAACAGATGTAATAATATTCTTATAAATCCTCCCAACTGAAGGTTTTTAATGTAATGGCTTTCGCTTCTAGAAGGACTTAATCTTATAATTATCAACTTCCTACCACATCTCTTTGCTAAATGTGGACTCAGGTTGAAACTAACTAGGTTGTCTACTTACTGATACTTATCTGCTGTGAAAAGTTGATTTAACTGCCCTCTCAGATTACTTAGTTAAATCTAATTAAATTTATTAGATTTATTAAGCATTATATAAACTAGATATTGATTCATAGTGGGTGTCCCTTTTGAATGTTGATGATTGTTTCAGATTTTCTTCTGAAGATAAAAAACTGATCAATGATCTTGTTATCTTATGACTAGGTTTTGAATCAAATCTAAACATTTTTCTTTTGAATAATCCCTTCCCTAATTTTTCATAATATTTATCCAGCATCTCTAAAACTTAATCGTACTTTTTAGCTAATTATTAATCAATTGATTATTAAGGATTCTTATAAAATTGCTAGGAAATTTAAAATAATATCTAAATTTCATTAAATAAGTTCTCGGCTAAACTTGGAGCTATTCCTCTACTGATTGGGTATAATAATTTTATCTCAAAATATAGAAATTAAAAGAAATCTTCTTTAGGCATATTTGCACATGATTTAACTGAACCTATCAATTTTGGAGACAAATATACAACATTTTCTTAATTATTTAACAAATGCATCTCAGTAACAAAAGATTTAAGATTATACATAGTATAATACTCGTGTTTTATATTCATTAAATAATGGATAGATTATTGTTCTTCTCCTATTAAATAGGTTTAGTAAGCCTAAAATATTAAAAATTTTAGTCTTATTAAAGTATTTTTAAAATGTTAAAGCTAAGGAAGGATTATTTATTCAAAATATTATAACTGATTCTTCATAGATTTTTATTTAAGCTATTTATTTTTTAAGATAGCCCATTTTAACCACAATTCCATAACTGAATTCGAAATTTGATATTTTTAATAAAATAGCTTATACTTTTTCATTTTATCTATGGTTTTTCCATTCATAAGAGTATTTGTAATTTCATTAAGATCTAACAACATTCTTGCAATTAAAACTCTTTATAATTGTTCTGATTGAACATATTCTATTCTGGGAACCATAAAATTTTCTAATACAAACTATTCAAATCCTAAATTTTTCCTTTAATTAAGTTTCTTCGTGTAGCCCAGACTTTCAAGTTATAGTAATCTTGTTTCTTTTTAGAATAAGTGGCTGAAATTTAGGCATTATAATAAATAGTAATTCATTTATTATTATTATAAAGCATATAATATTAAATTAAAAAGAAATCAATGTAAAGAATTCTAAATAACTTAACATTGTCATCGATTAATATTAATTGATATTGAGGATCAAATATGTGTATTTGTTTCATGATGCTAACACATCTACTTTATATACTATTTTCATCTACATGAATAGATTAGAAGTGAAATCCAAGTTTTTATTAAAAAAATAAACAAATTCAATATTAGTTCAATAGCGGAGTCCATAGAAATAAAATAATGAATCATTATTATGAAGAGGAGTAATATTTCAGATTAAGTTAAAATTATTTTTTTATATTTTATCTTCTATTATAAAGACATTTAGTATTAAGCATATATGAGTAATTTTAGTTTCTAATGAATGAATAATACTAGCATTCTTTTAAAAGATCTTTTGAAAAAGGACAGATAATTTAGAAATAAAAAGAATTAATGTAGAGAAAATTTAAATATATTATTTTGTGATTTTGTTTAATGTCTGAGTAGCCTTAACAAGATGGAACTTAAAATGATTATATTCAGTCATTAAGAGAGGAAGAAAACTTTCTCATGATAAAATATAATGAAAAGAGGGAAAACGAAAAGATGCAAATGGAAGAGGCAGCAAAAAAATTTGTCCAAGTTGATCCAATAACTCAAAAAAAGTTCGATAGACCTACAAGAGCAGGTGGTGTTTATGTGCCTCCTCATAAATTGAGGGAAATGGAAAACGAAATAAAAATGAGTAATAAAAATAGCGTTGAATACTAAAGATTAATGTGGGAATTATTAAGAAAATCAATAAATGGTATTATCAATAAAGTAAATATTACAAACATATAAAATATCATTGTTGAATTATTTAATGAAAATATTTTAAGAGGGAGAGGATTATTAGCAAGAGCAATTATAAAAGCCTAAATGGCATCGCCAAATTTTACTATGGTTTATGCTGCTTTGATCTCTGTTATCAATACTAAATTGCCAGAAATTGTTAATTTGATAATAAAAAGAGTGATTGTTTAATTTTAAAGAGCGTACAAAAGAAATAATAAAATAGTGTGTATGGCAATTACAAAAATGATTGCTCATCTTATAAATTAAAAAGTTTTAAGCGACTTAGTTGGATTAGAATTACTTTATATTCTTCTAGAGAGTCCCACTGAAGATTCTGTAGAATTGGCCTGCGATTTTACAATAGAATGTGGATAAGTAATGAGTGATATTGCTCCCTAAAATGTTTCTACAATATTCGAAAGATTTAAAGGAATATTGCATGAAGGAACCATAAGCAGAAAAGTTTAGTATAGAATTGAGTAACTATTTGCAACTCGAAAAACTAAGTTTGTTGATCACCCAGGAGTTATTCCTGATTTAGATTTAGTTGAGGAGGATGATTAGATTACGCATCAAATAGATATAGTTGATGAGTTAGATGCTGAGGATAATCTAAATTTATTTTAGTATGATCCATTTTTTGAGAAAACTGAGAATGAATGGGAAGAAATCAAAAAAGAAATTTTGGGAGAAGAGAATATTATTATGTTAAAAACAAAGTAATAAGTTGATTTCATGCCTGAGATAGAAGAGGAACAAGAATAAGCTAAAGATTTTACAGAAAGGGATCTATTAAGTTTAAAGAGAGTTATTTATTTAACAATCTAAAGCAGTGTTGATTATGAGGAATGCTTGCATAAAATAATTAAGATGTAAACAGGAATTGGTCATGAAGATGAAGTTTGCAATATGATTATTGATTGTTGTATGCAAGAGCGAACATATTTAAGGTTTTTTGGACTTTTGGGATAGAGATTATGTGAAATTGCTGAAATCTTTAGAGATAATTTTATGAAATGTTTTGTAGAGAAATATGCTTCAATGCATCGTTATGAAACTGCAAAAATCAGAAACATTTCTAAATTCTTTGCTCATCTCTTATTTACAAATGCTATTGATTGGAGAATCCTAAAATGTATTTCATTAACTTAAGAAAGTACTACCTCTTCAGGTAGAATTATGATTAAATGTTTATTCTTGGAATTGGCTGAAAATATGAGCTTACCTGTGTTAAAGTCAAAATTGATGGATCCGGAACTTAAAGATTATCTTGCTGGTCTATTTCCAGTTGATCATCCTAAAAATACAAGATTTTCAATTAACTTTTTCACTAGTATTGGATAAGGGTTATTAACAGAAGAATTAAGATAGATATATGAATAATAAAACAAAATAGAATTTTAACATGCTTAAGAAGTAACTATTGCATTCTAATTATTAGGCTTTAAAATAATTCGGTACCTCTGCTGAAGAAGATAGTGAAAGTGATGAAAGTGACAGCAGTGAAGATTCATCCTCAGATGATAGTAGTGATAGTGATTCATCAAAAGATAAATAAAAAAAAAATTAATAAGATAAGAAAAGAAAAGAAGATGAAGCTCCTGTTAAAGAAAAACCAAAGGAAAAAGAAAGAGGTAAGCTAAAAGAGAAGGATAGAGAAAGAGAAAGAGAAAAAGAAAAAGAGAAGGAAAGAGAAAAAGAAAGAGAAAGGGAGAAGGAAAAAGAGAGAGAAAAGGAAAGAGAAAAAGAAAAGGAAAGAGAAAGAGAAAAAGAAAAGGAAAGAGAGAAGGAAAGAGAAAAAGAAAGAGAGAAGGAAAGAGAAAAATAAAAAGAAAGGGAGAGAGAAAAATAAAAGGAAAAAAAACGAGAAAAAGAGAGAGAAAGAGAAAGGGAAAGAGAAAAGGAAAAAAAAAAGAGGGATCAAAAAAGAAAATACAAAAGTCCAAGCCAAAGTGAAAGTTTAAGTGATAGTAGAAGCAGAAGTAGGAGTAGAAGTGCAAGTGTTAGTAGCAGCTAAAGTAGTAGCAGTAGCAGTGAAAGTAAACCATAGCATAAAAAACACAAATGAATTTATTAGCTAAATTATTTTATATTTGAAAATATTCTACCATTATAGTATGATTTGGTTGATCTATTTATTATTCGAAGTTTCAAGATTTACATTCTTATGTATTAGTACAAAGGAGGCGTGATATAACAAGAAATTTTTATAAAGATGGAATTAAAACTTCAACTTAAAAATCATTAAAGGGTTTTTAGTCTAAAGGTAGATAAAGTAGGGAAAATATCTAAATAATTTCTAGAGTAATACTTGATGATCCAAAAAATTTTGCCATTTAGGAGTCTGTTCTAAGATTATATTTAGGCGTAACCATTCTCATCTATTTATTAGTTCTTTTTTAAATCAGAGCCTAGATATTTTCCTGCTTTGCCTCGTGAATTTAATGTAATTGGCTCATAGGGAGACTACTTAAGATTTTATTGAGGGTATAATTTGCTCTATTAAAAGAACCTGATGAGATCTAATTACTTATTTCTGTATACTATATACCTTTCCAATTATGCAGTTTAAAACCTACTCATCGAAAAGGGCTTTCTTTTTATTATTTTCTATTGTTATCTTTTTAGATATGCTAAACTATTAAATAAGAGTACGTTCAGTTGAATTATTGTTTTGGTTGACATTAGGTTAGTTGAATTCTTGATGAATTTCAGTTTTCTTTTAATTCTTACGATGTAATAACTCAAAATATTATGGAATACGAAATTAAGTTAGTTGTTAAAATGATTAACTATAAGGTTTAGGTAAGTTGGAGTAATCCAAATATTTGCCATCTTCTTATAATATTTTTTTATTTGCTTCAATTAATTCAGCATAGGGAGAACTAGGTTTTTTTCTCATAATAATAATTAATTATTATTATGACAATATTAATTACATTCAAAAACAATATAAATGTATAAATAGTATAAAGAATAACATAAATAATAGCATCATCTATTCGACTTAATTACAGAGTTACTCTAACCTAAAAGGGTTAATTTCAAATATTCATTAGAAACTAATGCAAAATGACAGATTCGTAAAATAACTTAGTATAAGTTTGGAATCCAAAAGAAAAAATGGATTGAAACGATGATCAAAATATTAAAAAGTCTTTATGTTTTCTCTAAAACATTAAAAGAAGGCAGTATATTAAAGAGGACTCCTTGATGATGGGAATATTTAAAGAGTAATCTATTTCAATTCTAATTTTACATTACCAATTAAGAAATACCTTATTATATGACTCAAATAATTATGAAGATAAAAATGAATATACATTATTATGCTCTGAACCGTTTATTGGCAGAACTAATAATTTTAAGAAAGAAATCATTCTATAAAACAATGGTTTGAAGCAACATATGCAAATAAATAAAGTCTAGTTGGGTTTGGTATAGAACAATCCACTTTTATTAACAGTTCAAATGATCATACTAAGTCTACTTTTACTTAATTTAGAAAACTCTTTCTTAGACACCATAAGCCTGCAATTAATTACTAAGAAACTGATTAAAAGTAAAGATGAAATTAATTGCGAAACAAAATTTACTAATACAATAGAAGAATAGAATATGCTTCTGAGAAAATAACTGAATCTTCTACAGAGATGGCATCATTTACTTCAAAAGTTGAATTGGCTTCAGATGTCAAAGATAAAAAATATAATTTGATATTTTAGAACGAACAAGAATATTAATTAACTGAATAAAGAGCTAATTATGCTGGTCTTTTTATAAAATTTGAGCATGAACTGAAATTATCAATGATAATACTGATAATTTAAATGCTGCATACTGGTAAAGATAAAAAAAAAATAGTGAATATGAACATATTATGCATCTGATACTAAGCATTGCTAATTAGAAATTGTTTCTCATAAGATATTTAAAGAAATATGAGCAGCTAAATTCAAATTTCAAAGTTTACTTCTTGAAAGATCTTCTGCATGATATTTATTTTATTAAAATTAAAATATGCTATTATCTCTTCACAGAAGATGTGAAATAATAGTTTCCTAATTATATTTATTATGAAATTCTGATACTTAATTTAATTGTATGTTTTACTGTGTTTCTATGATTTATTTATTAGTAAATGGAATAATTTAATTATAGTTTTTATAATGTTATAGATATACTATTAATTAAATGGAATAATAAAATGATGTTGTAACTTAGGATTAATAATAAGGATTGAACGAATAAGTTGAAGAGACTTCAACTCAAAATGAACCAACAGAATAATCTATTGTTGAAAACCCTCAAAAAACTGAGACCAACCCTATGATCGATCCAATAATAGATTAAAACACAGATCAACCTTCAAATTAGGATAATAAAACAGAAGAATCAAATGATAGTTCGACTACAAATCCATTATACACTTATTCGATTTTGGCAAAAGAATTTATTTTGTTTAGCCTTCCCTATTTATATTTTATAATTGCTGCTCTTTATAGGATTTATTAGCTTTAGAAATTGCAAGATGTTACACTATAAAGATAATCGATAAGATCTCAATTAAGTGATGAGGATGTGTAATTATTGAATATATTTAAATTAGCCCAAAAACAAATCCTCCATCTTTGAATATCAAAATTATGATTTCATATTGGCTTTGTTTTGTGTGTACTTTATCGATGACCCTCGGATTTTTCGGTCTAATTATGACTATATCACCAAAACTGTACTTCATTTGGCTGATACCTATTGTTGCTCATATTGTTTCTGTTATTTTGCTAAAATTAGAGTTCAAAGTTTAAGAATAATAGGCAACTTGGACTCATAGAGTAATAGTTTATCAACTATCAATTAGATATTTTGGCCTTTATAGACTGCATTTTTGGTTGTTAGAACTTCATAAGAATATCAAACTCTTTTGAGTAGCGGATTAATAATTTTGCAATTGTTCCCATCACTCGTTTTATTGATATATGCATTGTATAGACCAAATGATAGAACAAGAATACCTGATGACACACCAAAATTTGCAAAATAATTGATGAAATCATTAGAAGAATTCAAAATATTTTAATCAGGAATTAGAGAATCAATGATAAACAGAACCAAAACAAAAAAAGAAAATACTACTATAACAAAATAATTATCATCAGCATTTTCTGATCTAATATAAAGCAAAAATCAAAATGAATAGGAGCAATTTTTAAGAGAAAAAATGCCAGAAAGGAGTGTTAGTGTGAGTAAAAAAATAATTAAACGCTTTGTTAACGATAATGAAATACTTTATTCATATTTGATTAATACCATAATCGATGGTCATACATTTTAATCAGAAAAGCGTTACCCTGAATTTTTGAATATTGAGAGAGTACAAATTGATCATTTTAACAAATACAATGCAAGTTCCTTTAAAATTCAAAGAATTGATCTATAATTGGGTGAAGATGAATTTTCTTATGTTCTAAGGAGAAGAGAATATTTAGAAAGATGGCTATAAGAGTAATTATCCAACCCAACTTATGTAACAAAAAATCTACTTGATTTCTTGGGAGTGGATGAAGAAATGCAACAACCATTTTTAATATATTAATAATTGATTTCAAAAACTAGATCTTAGATACGACCTAAGAGTTACTAAAAATCTTAAGAATATGAATTATAAGCACTCAGAGTAAATTCTGAAGAAAACTTAGTTGCATTAGATTATTCTGAGCTTCAATTCTCTTCTAATTGTGTCTAGTATGAATATGGCATGTATGGATCTAATTCAATAGAATTTGTTATTATAATCAAATACAAAGAAAAGTAAACATATTAAAAGTAATGTTAGGAACACAGAACACGTATATAGGATCTTGAAAACACTGTCTTGTATTCGATAATTTAGTGAGTAACTTGAATTATAAAGTGGTCGAGCATTGCCGCCTAATTTAAAAATAACAAAGTAAATTTTAAATTTAACAACAAATGAAAAAATCACCTTTGTGGATGAATTTTTTAAAGAATTATTAGGAAATCACGAATACTTTTCAAGCGAATTTTTTGAATTTATAGGATTTGATATTAATAATAGATGTCCAAAAGAATAAAGTTGATCAATTTTTATAATATTAAATTATTTATAATTATAATAATACATAACTAAATGAAAGATCCTTGAGCTTATTATAATAATAACAATTTTTATGATTAAATTATATATAGATTGGATTTCACAGCCATCTAGAGCTGTAAAGGCAGTCTTAGATATCCTCAAAGTACCTCATGAAGTTAAGGCTTTAAAGATTTAATTTGATGAGCACAAGTCACCTGAATTCACAGCAATTCATCCATTATAATAATGTATTGAAGTTAAAAAAATTGATAGTGCCTGTATTACAAGATGGAGATTTTATAGTAGCTGAAAGTCACAATATAATGAGATATATCATCAAATAGAGAAATATATCAACTAATTTGTAAGTTTCTAAAAAATAATAAGATACCCTCTTACAGACATCAGATAATAAACTAGAATAGATTAATATCTAGACTATCATCATACAAATACAAGAAGATGTTTACATTTGTACCATTCAGTGCTTATATCGCCAATAAAAGGGGAGAAGGTTATTCCTGAAGTACTGGAAAAGGAAAAACAAGATGTGGCAAAAGTGTTTTCATATTTTGAGAACAGTAATTATTTTAAAACATATGTAGATTGGCTGAAAGGTAGGAACTACATTTGTGGTGATTAAGTGACTTTGGCTGATATAAGTGCTTGTAGCGAAATGATGTAATTAGACATGATTAAATTTGATTTCTAAAACTATCCAATTACAAATGCTTGGCTTAATAGAGTAATAAGGATTCCAGAAGTTTATCAAGCTCATAATGTGGCTTTTAAGATTATCAAGAAATAGAATCCGAGTTCTTAATTCTTGAAATGAATTAAAATAACATATATATATATATAGAATATCAATTTGTATTAATATATAATTAAAGCATATTAATGTATATGTTATCAAAAGATTGAGCAACAGCATTTTTCTTCGTTTGAAGGCATTTAGTCTTTTTATATGGTACTTGTAACGTTTTGCAAGGTTTAATTTTATGATTTTAAGACTTTGCCTTTAATGGCTTTTTTTATTGCTAAGTCAAATATTTCCTTCAAACCAACTTATGTTAATGCAGAACATTCTAGATATTGACATGGCAATTTTTCAACTTTTGATTTTGCCTAAAGGGTATATTAAATGGAATATTACAGCTTCCTATTAGACATGAGCTGGATTGGCTTGGTTTCTCATATCTATTTTATTTCCTACGAATATTTTTGGTACACCCTTTAATTCAGGAGCCTCTAATTCTGGGTACCATTTGCTGATTGCATTTTCAAAACTAGATTCCTCAATAACTGAGAAAACGACCAAAAAGACATCAGCTGAATTATATGATAGTGTTCTCAATCTATTATATGTTTCTTATCCTGCAGTGTCCCACAGACTTAAATTAATCATTTTGCCATCAACAGCCGTCTGAGTGGTATAATTTTCAAAAACTGTAGGAACATAGTCTGATGGAAATTTATCAGTTGTATAGCTATGGATTTTTTGTGGAAATACCTGAGGAGTATACAAGTCTTGCCTACATTTCCATCGCCTACAACGACAAGTTTAATTGTGATAGGATCTATTTCTGACATCACTCAATATATTTATTTAATTATTGGAAGTAGAAAGGATTTTTTAATGTAATTTAATAATGAATTCATTTACTTTTATTGAATGAATAATATCAAAATGCTCCCTTGAGTTAAGATTTAACATAATCGGTAAATCTTGGTTGATTCAATAAATCCAAGGCTTAGTGAGCAGCATTTAATTCCTTGTTGTATTCAGCAACGGTAGCATTGTAAACATCAGTTGCGAAAGCATAGTCATCATTTTCTGCTTACAATTATCCATTCAATGTGTCCAAATCAGCATGTAAGACATCAATCAAATCAAGGGTTTATTCAATCTTGTCTATTAAGTATTATTATTAACAATTTACTTGCATTGGCTTCAATTTCAGCTGTCTTAACTATAACAGCTCTTTAGAATTCAGCATGCTCTTAGTTTAATTGAATGACTCTAGCTTCAAAGTCCTTTTAGGCTTCAGCTTCATCAGCAGTGAGTTGATTGAGTGAGTCAACTAATTGAACTCTCAAGTTGTTGAAGGCAGTCAAAATCTATGAAAGGGTTAACAAGGGATAGATACTTCTCTAAGGGCACCTTGATCAGCAAAATTAGCTTCAACAGCGATTTCCAAAAGAGTCTTGATGAAGGTTTGGAATGTGCTGTGTCTTTTGAGTGATTACTCGATTTTGGTCAAATTCTTTTAGACCTTTTAGATTTAGACAAGGGATGGTGATTCCAATTGGCTGAGTAATTGTAATGATTCATCAATAGCTCCAATAGCTTCATTGTGTTCAGCAACTTAAGCTTCAAATTCAGCGTGATCCTTAGCTCTTTGAACTGTTGATTCATTAAGGGTCTTTCTGTTTTGAGCAATGTTTTCTTATAATTATTCAAGTTGAGCAGCAAATCTATCTCTTTATGGGATCAATACGTTATCATAGAAATCGTGGGCATTGAAGACCTCTAAAGGAAATCTTTAAATCTAATAATATACCTCTTTCTTTATCTTAGATTTCTTATTCAAGTCTTGTAACTTCTCTATTGTGAACGTCTGTTCTTCTTGTATATTAATGATGGACTTCTGCTAATTCCTCATCCAATTCGTCAATCTAAACGAATTAATGAAAAAAGTAATTACAAGTTTAGCAATTTCACTGTTTAATTCTGCAAGGATACCTCCTGTGCTCAAATGGAGTTCACCAAAGTTCAAAATGAATTTACCCCAACCAGATTGTTTAATTTGAGCAAAAGCTTTTTGGTCATGGCTTGTCCAAACTGAGTTTGTGACATCAATTGCTGTTACGCTAAGGATAAGCAATGTGCAGACTGCTAATTTATACATATATTGTAATTAATAATGAAGGCAACACCAGATAATTAAGTGTTAAAAATTCCAAAAACGAATTTTATTTTTTATATATTTATATTAATATCATACTAGCAAGCCAGCTCATAATAATAATATTAATATAATTAAAAATATATATATAAATAAAGTCAGAGAAGATGTATCTTTTCAATTAAAAGACTTTAATTGTACTGGTTTATGTACATAATGCTCTGTAGATTTTTATTGAGACCAACCTCCTTCGATTATGTTTTTTTGACTTCAGAGAACTATACAACATATTATCATTCAGCAATACCTGTCCAATTAATAGAAGTCCATTATTGTTTACGTAATTCCCAAATCCCATTATTAGACCCTTCTGAAATTATCCTTAATAATAACTTCCATCACTCCAATGAAATGTTCCATCGCCTTAAAATTAGTTATTTTCGAATGATCCTTCATACCTACAATTAGATAGAAGAAATATAAAACTTGCATCCATCTGGAAAAACTTAAATCCCCCTACCATTTTTCTTGCCGTTATGAAATTATCCATAAAATCTTGTTCCATCACTCTTAATTTCCTATGCCTCTCCTTCTAACTGATTATTGATCCAAATTCCTAAAATAAGAATATATTTTACCCTTAACTATTTTTTTTTCCGATATAAACATACCAAAACCATTTGTGCGGCCATTTTAGAACTGAGCTTCAAAACTACATTATTTTGATATTTATTACATGTCTCCATTCCTGTAATGCATTGTACAAAATCCTTGAAGCAAATCGTTTTACCAAGTCCTATAATAACATATTAATTGTTTGTTACCCAATTAATAAATTTCCAACTTATGGCCATACTTAAATGCCGTTCCCATGTTTGAGTCCTGACTCCAATGTGCCAAAGTACACACTTTCATCACTTTATTTTGAAACCTGAAAGTCTGAGTGAGGTTTGAAATTTTCTAATTTTTGTTTAATGTGTTAAGGAAGAGCACTCACAAACTCCAATAATCGAGAGTCTAAAGCTGGACTGCTTTGTTTGGAATTGTCATCATCAGCTAATCATATGTAAACAGCCTATTACTTTCGCTCAATGAGATAGATGCAAACTTATGAATGAAATATTCTTATGATATCTATTAATTCATTTATATTTAATTATTGAGATATAATTACTAATGGAAAAGTTAAAACCTACTCTTAAATTAATTTAATTAAATAAGAATACAAAGGAAATGTCTCTTTAAAGAGTTTTAAGAAATTAATATATTGGGATGTCTCCCTATCAAGAGTTATAAATGACATTGAAAGCTTAATGTTGACAATGATGCTATATTTACCATCCTTGATTTTTTCCCCTAAAACCCTTGTCGCACCAATATTCATTATCGCTTATTAATATGGCTATGCTTATACTATAAGATATGTGATTTCAATAGTTATGTCACTAATTTTGATACTTTCTTTAGAAAACTTTTCAAAAGACCAAGACCCAAGCCTCTTCCGCGACTATCTATACATTTAAGAAATAAGGAACCCAATTATTCCTTGCCAAGTGGAAGTTGTGCTCAAGCTGCAACCTTTCTCTTTTATTTTATCAATGCTAATGGAACTGGTATATTTATTATATAAAGATTTTAGTAGACATCTCTAACATTTTGATAGCAATTCATATAGCTTTTAATGCAATGTTAGGCAGAGTGTATTTCTGAAGCCACTACTTCAGTGATTGTCATCTTGGATTTGTAATAGGAGTGGCGAATGCCTTCTTGATTAACTTTTTTTATAATGAAATGGACGTGTATTGTATACAAGATTATTCAATTAATATTATATATATACATATGAATATAGTTGAGTACAGAAAGCATCGGAATGAAAACTAAATCAGAACTTGTTGTTGCAAAAGAAGAGCCCCTTGGGAATTACAACCAGACAGAAAAGTATAACAAGCGTTTAAATTCTTAGATTCTGATTGGTACCGCAGATAAAAATATTCCCAATAATAGAGTTGAGACTTCTAAGTATAATATGCTCACATTCTTACCCAAAAACTCATTGGAATAATTTAGGAAAGCCTCCAATTTGTATTTTTTGCTTTTAGGCATCTTGTAATCAGTTTGAATTCAATTTAGTCAAATCCTACCTCCAGTCACCACTACTGATGGACAACCAACTGTTTATCTACCTCTGTCATTCATTATTATGGTCAGCATGATCAAAGATTTTTTCGAAGACTTTAAAAGGTACCTCAATCATCACCATTAGACACCGAGCAGATGATGAAGAAAATAATCGAACAGTATAAAAATATTCGCTTCGAACAGGAGTTTTTGAGTATGACAAATGGTAGAATGTGTATGTTGGAGACATCATAAGAATTGCAAATAAATAGGTTTGATTTTAACTTAAGAGTAGAGAATTCCTGCTGATATTATTATCTTAGCTACTTCCAAGGGAGGAGAATGCTTTGTAGAAACTAAGAATCTGGATGGCGAAACTAATCTCAAACCCAAATATGCACATCCATAATTGCAGACCTTATACAAATAGTTAAATGAAAAAGAGTTACCTTATAATTTGTATCTTTCAAATAAAATATCTTAGATTTGTAACTATGGATTTTGAACGATAAAATCCTTTAATGTATAAATTTAAGGGCAGCTTCAATATTGTTAATGAAAATAAAGAACTACCAAAGGAAGCATTGAATTATGAAAATTTCTTGGAAAGAGGGTGTTCTCTTTAGAATACTGACTGGATTTTGGCAGTTACCGTATATTCTGGACACGATACCAAGATTATGATGAACTCTATTATAGGAAAGATGAAATATAGCACAGTTGAGAAATTGATGAGTAAGCAGATTTTATGGGTTTTCTTATTTTTGTTGTTTGAATGTATTTTTGCATCAACATATTACAATGTATGGTACCAAAGAAACATGAATGAATTACAATATTATCTGAATATTGATAAAAATGCTCCAGAGAACAATACCTTTTACAATTTTGTCTTAAGATTTGCAATGTGGTTTTTATTATTAGGTAATAGTGTCCCAATTTCATTATTGGTCACTTTGGAAACTGTAAAGTTCTTTTAAGCATAAATGATTTAATGGGATAAGAATTATCTCACACTAGATAGACCTGCTGCAGTTCATTCCTCAAATTTAAGTGAAGAATTGGGAGTTATTGAATATATATTTAGTGATAAAACTGGAACATTGACGCAAAACATTATGAAATTTAAATCAATTATTATTGATGAAGTTGTGTATGGGGATATCGAGGAATAAAATTAAAATTAATAAGATATAATAGATGAAAAACCCTTTAAAGAAAAGCATAGAATTGTATCTTAAAATGTTGATTTTACAGATGACACCTTGTACTCTGAATTGATTTCTGAATTTATGAATAAAAAGTCAGCGAAGAATTTCACAAACAATGACCATGTATTTCTTAGTCTCCTTTGTTTATCTTTGTGTCACACAATTTAAACAGAGTTAGTCGAGAACATTGAATCTGAGATTTAATATAATGCTAGCTCACCAGATGAATTAGCATTGGTTAGTTTTGCAGCTGAGATGGGATTTAAATATATTGGAAAAGAAGACAATGTCATGAAAGTTTACGTGAAACATACAAAGGAAACCTTAAAGTTTTAAATTTAATAGGTTATCGAATTTAATAGTACAAGAAAGAGAATGTCAATTGTTTTAAAAGATCAAAATGGAAGATTGACTTTATTTTGTAAAGGAGCAGATAATATTATTTTATCTATGCTATAAGATTTTGAGGAAAACGATACTATTTAGAAAAACATCTTATTTGAAATAAAAAAGCAATTGCAAGAGTATGCGACTATTGGACTAAGAACTCTAGTGTTGGGATACAAGGAATTAGAGTAAAAAGAATATGAAAAGTTTTTATCTGAATATAATAGAGCATAATCCATTTTAGATGATGATTAATTAAGAGAATCACTTATGAATCAATTAGAAGAAATGATTGAAAATAATTTATAATTATTGTGTGCAACAGCTATTGAAGATAAATTATAAGATAAAGTCGGAGAAGTAATAGCTGATTTGAAATCTGCTGGAATTAATGTATGGGTTTTGACAGGAGATAAGATAGAAACAGCTATCAATATTGGATTTTCATGTAAACTACTTACAGATTAAGTGAAAAGATTTATAATAGATGGAGATTAAGAAGGATAAGTTGAAAGACAATTAGCCAAAGTAACTAATAGTATTAATGAACATCCTGAAGAACCTCTATCATTGATAGTATCAGGAGTAGCTCTAGTTATTATCATACACAATTTTAAAGAAGCATTTTTTAAAGTGGCTTTGAAAGCAAATGCTGTTATGGCTTGTAGGGTTTCTCCGAAACAAAAATAAGAAATTGTGAATTTGGTTAGGAGATTGACTGGAAAAATAACTTTAGCTATTGGTGATGGTGCAAATGATGTTGCTATGATTACTTAGGCTCATGTTGGTATAGGAATTAGAGGTTTGGAAGGGTAGTAGGCAGCAAAGGCAAGTGATTATGCTATTGGAGAATTTAAACATTTAAGAAGGTTGTTGTTTTATTCAGGACACGAATCTTATAGGAAGAACAGCAATTTAATCCTATTTAATTTTTACAAGAATTAATTATATATTGGGGCATTTTTCTTTTTTGGCTTTTCAAATGGATTTAGTGGGTAAAATCTGTACGATTAATGGCTTTCCTAAATTTTTAATGTATTTTTTACAAGTTTACCTATTATTCTATATGCATTATTTGATGAGAAATATCCAAACTCAAAATACATGCAATTGGTTTAAGATAAGGCAAATTTCTTAGAATCCAGACCCGATATTTATAGGGAGTATTTGACAAAGCCTATATTTAACTTAGTTTCCTTTTGGCAATAATTCTTTTGGGGATTGTTGTAAGCAATATTGTTGATGGTAATTTCATTTTATGCATTTGAACCTATTTCACCACACATTCATGGATAGAATTCAACCTACTTAGAAGCTGGAATGACAATAATGAGTGCAGTTGTTATTATTGTAAATATTAAAGTGCTGCTTCTACACAATACTGTAAATATAATCATATTTATAATTTATAGAATTATCCTATCATAGTCTACATTAATATTGGATCAACAACCTGCTTTATATTATTTTTCTTACTTTTCTCACAATACCCCTTTTTTGAAAGCTTTGATCTCTTTCAAAGATTGTATGAGTGCTTTAATTACTATATGGCAATGATATTGATGTTGACTGTTACCAACTTTTTTGATCTTGGGAGACAGAGATATAATTACTTTGTTGACTAACATAGAGAACACCTGTAAAACAACCCACCAACTTAATTAGAAATTGAAATGTGATATATATAATAAATTATAATTTTAATGAACGATCATGAAAGTAGTGATTCTAGCAGTGATGAATTTTATGAGAAAATTAAAGCTTAAGTAACTAACGATTCTAAATTAAGTTAAATATCATGGATGATGAAGAGAAGAGTTCAAGAATTGTAAGCAGAAATGAAGTATTACCAAAAGTTGCATTTGCTCCTCCAGAATCCAAAGAACAAAGAGAATTCAATTTCAATTATAAACATTCAGATCGAATTCAACTGATTGGCAAAATTGAATCCATTACAAAAGAAAATGTTATCATTTATTCCAATCTTTTGGAATTTGTCATCAATTTAGATCAATTGATAGTTAATGGCTAATAAGAGATCTTGGGAAAAGTTGATGATGTCTTTGGTAAAGTTGAAAGACCGCATTATTCAATTTTGTTGGATGGATATGTAAACAACCTAATTTAAACTAATTAACTAAAAATTGGCGATGATGTCTTTATTAATATTGATAGCACTTCTGTTCTTAATCCAGACGCTATCAAATAATTACTTAAGTAATTATTAATGTTATCAAAAGTAAAAAAGGCTGTGATGCTTCTAATTAATTTGATGAAGAAGTGCTTAATGATTGCGATGTTGAATATTCAGATGATGAGATCGAAGCTGTATCTAAAAGAAGAGGAAACAAAGAAGAAGGAGAGGTGAAGAAAAATAATAAAAAAAAAGAAAAACATCCTAACTAATAAAAGCATGATAAATAATTACCATTTCCTTAATAAAATTATAAAGTCTAAGGTAATAACCAGTAAACATAATAATAACAATAACAATAATAAATGATGTAAATGTAACATTCTATGCAGTAATAACAATATTATTAATAATTGTTTCTTTAATAGCAGATGTAATTGTAAATGCAATAATAATAATAATATTAATAACTAATATAAAATTAGTAGGCTTTTCCATAATAATAAATGCAATAGCCTTAGTACATGTAACAAATATATCCGTAACCTTAATAATTATAGCCAAATCCTCAATTAAATCTCCCTTATAATTCATAATAAATTAATTAATAACTAAATTAGAACTTAAATTCCCTTTTCTAAAATATTAAACCGCAAGATTAATGAATAAATTTTGTATATAATTTATTGTTATCATTTTCAAGATCATAATTTGCTCTCAAACATGAGACTCTATATATACAACATTATCATATTAATAAATATATACACATACATATATATATTCATTTCTCAAAGTATGCTCTTAAGAGATATTCAGTAGTTTATTAGACAGATTTATTTGTATCATAAACAAATCTATCTAAAATGTCTTTAAAAGTGGAACTTTGCATTTGGATATATTTTTAATATTTATCAATCTCAGTACATTAAAATAAGGATAAAGCGATGCAATTTAAGGCTGCATAGTTCATGGTTGTGGATATATTCTACCGTAGAATCTCAAATAGCATATCTAATAAATGATATTAATCCATAAGCTGCAAAAAATGTTATCTTTTGCGAAGCACTATTTCTAAAAGTTTGAGTATTTCAATTTATCCATCTATGAAAGTAATTTTAAGTAATTTTATTAAATCATCATTTATAAATTTAAAGTAAGTGTCATTTTCTTCAAAAATAATGAACATTAATTTAGTAGACCTAACCATAGTTTTTTCGTGTCTATACAAATTGCTTTGAAGAACAAACATTAATTCTGAAGTCACAATTTATTCATAGTACATTTTTTAAATTGCATTTTAAACTAAATAATGTATTGCTAGTAATAATTAATCACAACAAAAAACATCTGAGTTGGGTTGCTTAAGAAAATGCAGTAAGCATTTCCAAGGCTTTCTATCCTCAGAGTTGGCGGAATTCAGAGCTTCCCAATAAAATTAATTAGCTTATGGATATTTTTGAATTAAATATGGGAGAATGCGGATTTACATTTAAGTAGTGCTATTTCTGCATTAAGTCAATTCTTCACAACAGATCAAGAACACTTATTTCAGAAATGGAAAAGGGGTATGTGCTGAATTTGAAAGAATAAGCATAAATTCCCAATATAGTCTTCTATGTTCCTCAAATAAGTTGCCGCTGATTAAGTTTAAGTATTACGTTAGTCTCTCTTTTTATATCTGATCAGAGAAGATATGCTTAACTACTGCTGGTTCAACACATAAATTGCACATTAAGCGCAAACACAAATTAAGGTCTAAATCATTGTGTTTCAATGTGTTGTAAATATTATGATCTATAATGTAGACACTGTATTTTGCACTTAATTGCTATACCAATTATATGAGTTTTTCTATATTTTAGTTGTCTGGATTTTGAAGAATGAGCTAAATCTGATTCTCGATTTGATCTTTGTATTTAAGTTCAAAGTCGATTAAATTGTTGCACTCATTTAGATCCTGAATTAAATTGCACTTTTCAAATCTCTTCTTACTAAATTCTTTTTCGAGATTTTATTTACGAATTTCTGTTCTAAATTATTCTCTTCTTTTGACTATTATCTCACTCATTAATAATATAACTCATATTAAAATCAAATAGTTAATAACATCAAATAACTAAACTTAGACATAATTCAGACATCATGTATCAGAAACTTTATGTCTAAAGATATTCTATATGTCCATGGTTACATCAAGACTAATTTTTAGATTTTGAGTTTCTATACGTATTAAATGTTTCATCTTTATTCCTATTTGATGTTACAAAGCAAAATAAACTAAGGACCAAAAATTTCGATAAAACACATATATAATGGCATTTTATAGAATTAAAATAAAAAATTTGCATATTTAATATATAAAATATAATTAATTTGTTAAAATACATAAGGAATGCAGTATGAAATCAAGATAATGGGTTATGAGAATACGGCAGACAACGTTTTATATAGAATTCGTATAATCGATCTTTTTACACTTGATTAGAGAGAAATTAGAGTTAGATATAGTCTCTTACTTGACCTTCATAATGCAATGCAAGAATACAATATAAATTATTAAGTAACTAATGTTTAAATCTAGCTTCCTTAATTTCCAAAAAAGGAATACTTAAAGACATTGTTTGGAGAAAATAAGGTGATCAAGCAACGCGAATAAAAAATAGGGGAATACTTTCAATAACTTCTTAAATGTCCTCCTCCTAATCATAAATTATTGCTTGATTTTCTTAGAGAAGGAGTTGATACGATTAGACAATAAGAATTATAAAAGGAAGTCAGCTCTAAAGCTGAGATACTCAAATATTTAAAGGAAGAAAAGATCCTAAAAAAGGCACAATTTGGAAAAACAACTTTATATAGCATAAACGGGAAAAAAATAATTTTGCATAAATTTTATGTCATTCAGCAATAGAGCGATTAACTATTTTTATCTTATATGAAGGCTCATTTAAATATTTTGGACTATAGCTTTTTTACTCAAGTACATTCTATATTCTATATACGACCCAAAGCTAACTTTGTTGACTCTATGCTTGGCTAAGTGAAATAGCCAAAAAGTAGTAAAAAACCCAATATTTTTACTAATTTATATCCCCAATATATAAGAGGAGAGGCAGTAAAGATATACTCACTTGAAGAATATGAGGGATAAAGTCTGAATGATGTGATTAAAGATCGAAAAACTAAAAATAAACCTTTTACTTTAGATGAGCTCTTAAATATTATATAGAAAATCCTCCAAGCGATTATTTAATTACATAAGCGCAATATATTTCCAAACAGAATTTTAGCCACTTCCATTATTATCAACAATGAGAGTGTTAAATTGGCAGGCATTTAAGAGCCTAATTCCAAATATAAGGAAAAATAATTGTTTGAAGGACAAACCAATAATACTGATTAAGGTTATGATATTGTTTACTATCCTCCCGAGAAAATGAGTTAATAGTTTTCATAATAAATAAATGGGAAGTTGATAGACAGTTGGCATTTTGGAGTTTGTATATTGATGGCAGCTTTGCTCTGTACAAATAAAGAATTGGAAGGAATTCACTCATCTTATCAAGTTGATAAGTTTGCAAATCAAGTATAGTTGTTATATGGGTATTTTAATAAATTTAATATAGGTAAGTGATGTAATAGCAGAAATAATTATGTTGAGTCTAAAACAATAATCACATCAAAGAGCAGATATTAGGGAATTGTACTTTTTGGCCAATTAGACAGCAATCATCAAATTTCAATCGAATTTTTTGAATCAGTAAGAGAAATCTTAGATTACATATTTAACAATTAATAGCATAACATAGGAGCAATTAGAAAACCTTGAATAGCTCATTTAAAAGTCTCCAATTTTATCAGTTAAAATCAATCTATATAAATAATAAATAGATTAAGAGGAAATAGATAAATTATTACAATTACTGGGTAATTTTGCTGAAGTAAAGTATATTACAATGATTTTAAATAAGTAAGAATAGATTTAATATGATTAGAACGTAAAATTTAAATTTTGGAAACTTCTGTGTTGGTTTATAAAAATTAAGGTCTTTGAAACGTATCTAATTGGATTTGAAGGGAATCAATATAGAACAAGAAGAAATTGAATAAGCATTAAAAATATTCAAATAAATGGATTCAATTGAAAAATTGATATTGGATTGTTCATCTATGGAATTTATTAATGGTTTGAAATCAGAATTGAAATTAGAGAGTAAATTAGTTTTGTATTTTGAATCATAATTAATATGATTAATTTCATTACATATCAGCAGGTTGTTTGACAGCATTCCTTAATTTTTTTCTATTTTTAATGGAATTCAACATTTAACTTGCTTATCTCATAGTATCCACAATATTGACAACCTAAATATAATAATAAATAAATAAATACATCTTTAGACATACGTTCAATCTTTTTAGATTCTTCTTCTTCATCCTACTTGAAATTTTGTAATTCTCTAGCTTTATTGAATGGGAACCATGTTAGATCTTTCTTCTATATTTTTTCCCAAACAAATTACTCAATTCCAGTGTAATCTGTGGGATCTTTGTATTTGAGATAAGCCATAAAGAAAACATAATTCCACATATAATGATTAACTTTGATGTGATGATCAAAACCTCCGCCCATTGATGATGTATCTGTTAATCTATCAAATATAGTTTTAAGATTTCCACAAATAAAGCATTTATCTTCAATATCCCTAACCTTCTCACTTTCCTTTTCTCTTAAAGACCCAAATGTATCAATAATAATACCTGCCACGATATTAACCATAATGATAACTAAGAAAATATTTGAGGTGTTATCGAATACAAATCTACTTACACGATACTTTTCGACTACATTCTCATCCTCCAAATCAGACAAGTATCCTCCAACTCCGCCATTGGCTTTAAATGTCCAATCAAATGTAAATAGGAAGCAAAACAATGTGGATTAACATTTCCCTTTATAATCTTCAAAGAAGAATGTATAGGCAATAAGACCATACACATACACAAGAATTATGAAAAGTACCAATGTAAGTCCTAATTATTATTTAGGTTCCCAAACGGATCTAATAACATTCTTCAAAGTTGGATAACGGATTAATATCTCTGTTAAATGAAAACTAAAAAAGAAAGGATGTAATACTGTTCCTATTACAGCTAAGGCACCATAAGCTAAATAATAAACGACTTCTATCTCTTTAAGAATATAAAACAACACTGCTAACAACTTAAATATCTTGTAGATCAATTGTATTGGCCAATAAGTAAACTTATCTTCAAATGGTAATTTGGTTTTCCAAGCTTTCTTAATAATTAATGGGGCATTCTTAAACAAAAAGAAAGAAACAACAAATATTGAACAACAAGCCATAATAGTACCACAAATCAAAAAAATATTTCTAGTCTGCTATGGTGAATATTATTCATCTCTAAATAATCTAAAGTCTGTTATTCTATTTCCTGATTCATTTTGGGCAAATGATCCTATTATAAATAGATTTAATAATAAGGTAAATAAAAATGCCAAATCCTTCCATAATTTCACATAATTGGCAAACAAAGCCAGAAACTTCTATCTTTAGAAGATTCTTCTTAGTTGTTCCTCATGCTCGCATATTTCAATTAACCTTTCTGATTCTTAAACTAAAAATTAAACCTTTGATTTAGTAGATGATCTATCTACATTTTCATGAAATTCCACCTTCTATTCTTTAGGCAAATTATGAGTATACGGCAAAAGTAGAAAATACACAATTTCTAACTCATTGTTTCTAACTACTTCTATGGATGCACTGTTTTTATAAAAAAAATCAAATGCTCTCCTCTTCATTTTTTCTTTTTCTGCTCTTCTTTCTCTATCTTGTTTCTCTTATTGTTCGCTTGACTAAGCTTAAGTAGCCATCTATTTTTGAGCTTCTTTCTTAATTTGATTCATTAAGTCAATCCAACTGTTAGCAAATGACATCACAAAACTGACTAATTAACCAATTATATTATCTCCAAATAACAAATCTTCTAAAGTGCCTTTGTCTTACTTTAATTTCTTTCTAGTATTCGCTCTATACATCTAAACAAATGAATTTTCTACATTCTTCTCTGATTCCATATAATAACACATTAAGAAATAGATATAAAAGCCTTTTTACAATATTAATTCATAGTATTATTCTTCTTTTACTTTATCTTCTTGTTTAGCAGATTCTGGGTCTTCCTTTATTCTATCTAAGACTTCTATCTAATAGCCTTCTTTACATTATTTTTCATATTTATGAAAACAACTTACCATATGTTTTTCTAATAATGGCGGAGTCAAGTGTCTCATTATTCTTTTGATAATTGGATTTGAATCTGAAATTTCTCTCATTTCAATTAAAGATAGAATCAAAATTAAACATTTGGTTTGCATTCTTTCAATTTACCAAATTTTTAAATCAGATCCTTTCTGTTATTTTTAATATCGACTGGTTTTAGTGGTCAGCATTTTATTACTTTAAGTTTTTGATGTCTTTATATTGGATGTCATTATTTAGGTTTTACCAGTACTATCCTTCTCCTTTTTTTATCCAAATAAATCTGAAGCTATTTCAAAGAATTTAGAATCAGCAACTGCTATTTGGTTTTCAGGACATGGTCCTTAGACTAACTCATTTAAGGTATCTAGACACAAAACCATATTTTCATATTGTGCTCTATCTTTATAGTAATAGGTTAGTAATAACTCTGCTACTTAGTTGATCATATTGAATGAGTTTCTCGAATTTGTTTATTAGCGAATATAATTTTATAGGTCAAGGTAATGTCCCTCACAACAGTTTTATAAGAATTTTAAGACTTAAGTCAATAATAATTCCAAATCTTATTGCTATTTTAATTCTTATACATTATCTTCTTATTAAGGAGGTAAATTCCCCAACTATTATTCTTCATTCTTTTTATCTTTTTCTTTGATTGTTATTTATTTGATTTATGCCTGAATAACATTGTTTAATCTACTAAAGATGACTTCACTTTTTGGATAAGTCTTCATGAATTCAAAGATAGTTTTTTATACTTTATTGTTTCCTCCTGATA